CACTTTCCTCTCCTTTCCTATACACTGAGGGATCTCTTTAGCCTACGGAGAGAGGGAGGGAGGGAGGGAGGGAGAAAGGGAGGGAGCAGTCGTCTACCGCCCTTCGTACCTAGGGCCTCCAACGCCGTCAAGCGTCGGACGAATGTGTTCGCCGCCGCCAGCCGTTTCACGCCGATCGCCATGGTCAAGGTGACGACACTCACCAACGACTCCGGAATCATGGCCACCGCCAACGCGGTGGCGTAAAGGATCGTCTCGTAGTCAGCTTCGAACCCGTTTGCGGCCCACACGACGACGCCCAAGACCAAAGCGAAAAGGAAGAGGCCCAAAGCGAGTTTTTCCAATTGTTTCTGCAGCTGGGTCCTCCCAGCCGGCCGTTCGCCGATGGAATGCGCGACTTTCCCAAGCTCGGTGTGCATGCCCGTGGCCACCACCACCCCTGTTGCGCGTCCCCGCGCCACCACACAACCGAAAAAAGCCATATTCTTCCGTTCCATCAATGTGGGTTCCAGACCACGATGGCAGTGGGAGAGGATGTGCTCGTTTTTGTTTACCACGTGCGACTCCCCAGTCAACAGGCCTTCGTCCGAGGCGAACGCCACGCAGGTGACAAGCCGACAGTCTGCGGGGATTTGATCTGGGCCACCAAGGGAGGGAAGGAGGGTGAGAGAAGGGAGGGGGCCGCAAGCACGAGAAACACCGTCGTGGAAGGAAAAATGGAAAAATGCAGGGTGCGATGGCGAATGCTCGGGGCTTGGAGGGAGAGAGAGACAGGAAAGGGGGTGGGGGGGAAGTGCAGATGAGAGGCCGGTGTTTGTCGTACCTCCCGTGTCGAGGTAGATGACGTCCCCTGGGACCAGAAGGTCGGCATTCAGGTGTTGCAGATGTCCGTCCCGCAAGACTCGTGCATTGGGCGAAGAAAGCCGGCGTAGGGCTTTGATGGTTTTTTCCGAGCTGGCAGGATAAAGGGGGAAAGGAGGGGCGGGCGGGGAAAAGGGGAAGGCACGGGGCAAGGAGGGAGGCAAGGTGAGGACAACACGGGAAAGGGAAGCTCCCTGCGCACGAAACAAGCGCCAGGATATAAAGAGAGGCGTGAAAAATAAGGGCACGCCCCGCATGGAAGGGAAGAAAAGAGGGTGGTTTCGTGCCGGCCTGACATCACCTGTACGCTTGAGTAAACCCGATCACCGCGTTGACCAAAATGACAACTCCCAGCACGGAGGCCATCAGGTACTCGGAAACGGCCAGGGCGAGGGCAAAGGCAATGAAGAGGATCAGAGTCATGAAGTTGAAGAGGTGGTGGATGAAGAGGAAGATCTGTGGGGTGGGGAACGGGATGGAGGGAGGGAGGGAGGGAGGGCAAGGGGGAAGGAGGGGACGAGGGAGGGCAAGGTGAGTCCCCAGCGTCTTGATAAGGGCGAGAAGAAAAGCACGCACCAATCGCCTCTACAATCCTTCCAAAGAAAAAAGATGCCTCCTTGTTTGAAATTCATACATCTCCCATTACCATGCAGGCAGAGGCCAATACCCCGGGGCGAAGCAGGCTATGGACGGCCACCACCAAAAACAGTTTCAGAAACAGAGAAGACAGTACAGAGAAATCCTATGAAATATACAACGAGAGTCTCCACGATTGGCACCAAAAGGACAGGAAAGCCTTGAGGAACCAAGGGTGGTCAGGCCAGCCTCCTTCCGGACCACAGTATCGGACAACATTCGAAATCGACAATCACGCGCCGAGGGAGGCCAGAACACAAAGACCTCATAATGAAAGACAGGCATCGAAACACCCTTCTTTCAGCAACGCAACAAATGACTGGGAAAGAACGGGACCTTGCGTCCGAAAAACACCGCGGGGGGGTAGCAGCAGGCAAAGATAGTGATACAACATCCCCCCTCCTCGCCTCTTCTTAGGCGACTCACCGGGTGCAACGATCGCCGTCCTTTGAGCGTGTTCTTCCCACACAATCCTCGTCGTCTGTCTGCTTCCTGGGAAGTCAAGCCTTCCTGCAAGTTGGCTTTGTAAAAGGCCACTACGTCGTCGCCTTTAATCATGTAAGGGGCCGCCATGAGCATCCCCGTGAATTCCAACACACTTGTCGCCTTCTGCACCTTCACTTGCACCATTTCTTCATGCTCTGGTACTGGCATAGGACGAGGCGTGGTAGCTCGCCCATCCGATGAGCCTGAGGCTGTTGTATCACTCCCCCATGTCTTGACCGAAGGGCTTCGCCCGGGGGCTTTAGGGGTAGGAAGACCCAAATGCCCTCCTTTGCTCTTCGAACCAATGCGGAGTAAAGATAAAATATCTTTTCCATCCTTGGTAACCTCTAAAGGCGCTAGCCGCCTGGGCGGAGGCATGGGTGAGGAACCGAAGGATGGAGGATGTGGTGTTGCTGATGATGCTTGTTAGTGAGCTGTACTTGTGACTGCGTGATTTTGGGGTGGGAAAACGTCTTGAGCAATAAGCACACTCGACGTCAATGTATGACAACTAAGCACATAGATAGAAAGGCTAGTAAGGATACAAACCCTCTTCAAAAGATCATTTGACGGGGTTTTCTTGGAATTAGGACACGCGCCTCGAGAACAGCGGGTCTCAGATCTCTAGATCGATAACGGAGCACCCTAGGCAACAGCCCCTCCCCCTAACCCCCAAAAGAAAAAGCTGTGGTCAACATTGCCGTCTCGAACAACTCGCATACGGCTACGTCCTTGAGTACATGCGTCTTATGCGAGGTACATACTTGACTGCGGCACGGCGTGTTTTTCTCATGTATTGCCATTGGAGGAAGAGATACACACGTACGTCACATCGGAAGTACAGAAAGATACTTGCATGCAAACAGCAGAAACAACTCTCAGCGGCACTTGGGATTCTCCCATTGCAAACCATGCAAAGCTTCATGTCAATAGCCAAAAGTAAGATCAAGGGGCCTTGGAAACTTTGGGCAAGGTCGCAATTCTAGTGGGATAGGTCAAATTGAAATAGTCGTCGTAATCATCTCCTCCGGGTATGCTTGTGGAGTCCCCGAGTTGCTTTGCCAGAACTACCATTGCCTATGCTTTTACTTCCCCGTCCATTCTGGTTTGGTAGGCTTTGAGCAGGATGCTCTTCTCAATCATTTCCCGCGTGTACATTGTGCTGTGTCGATTAACGTGGAGACAGCCGACTCTTAACCTTCATACCTACCCTGCATTATTTCACCAACTTTCCGCTTTTTCTTGAACAACCCTTCTCGAGCGTTTCAGCACAGTAGGTGGATAAAGAAACAACTGTGTCCATCTTAGTCTCTACGCAAATTAAAGCTTGAGTCGGTGACAATGATGACGACGACGCACAAAGATGACAAACTTTTCGACTTACAGCATTATCTGGGACCCCACTCCTCAAACGGCACCCACCTCCCTTTCCCCTTCGACGCTCCATTTCCTCTCTCCTCTTCCCCTGTGCCCTCCCCTTCTTCCTCTACCAATCGCTTCGCCCCTGCATACACAGGCAAGTCCATCGCCACCCTGGCGTCTTCCACGTCCTGCTGGATAGCTGCTACTAAGGCAGGGAAGCTCGGAAATTTCTGCTCGGGCCGTAGGAACCCTGTGAGAATCAATGTCATTAACTCCCCGTAGAAATCTCCGGGAAAAGCGCCGTCAATCAAATGCGCCTCTACAATCTTCTCCCTGTTCTCCTCCCCCTGGAATGTAGGGGAGTACCCAATATTCACCACTGCCTTACACTCACGCCCAACTACACGAGCCCAACCGCAATAGACACCCACGGGAATATCTTCTATGAGCGATTTGACGACAAAAAGCGAGGATGGGAGGTTGGCGGTGGGGAAGCCCAGTTTTTTGCTTCCGCGTTTGTATCCTTGACTGACTGGTCCTTGGAGGAGGAGCGCCTGAGGGAGGGGTTGATCAGGCCGACGGCAAAGGAGGGCGAGGTAGAGGGAAGATGTTGACTGCAGCGAGGTAAGCTGAAAGGGTGTTGTGACCAGAATGTCCTGGAAGAAGGAGCAGGGCAAGAAGGGAAAGGAGGGAATGGTTGGGAGCAGGGAAAGGAAAGACGAGGAACGACCCCGTGACCACATGTCATCCCTGTTCCTTCTTTCCCTCCTTCCCGCCCTCCCTCCGTCCCTCCCTCTCTCTCTCCCCTCCTTCCCTACCCTCCACGCCTTTTCGTCCCTGGGAAGGTCCGCGAGCACGACGGAGGGGGAACGCCGCCGCAATTCTTCCACGAAATCGGCACCTAAAGGATGAGAAATGACCACCCGGCCGCCTTTTTTGACCAGCTTGCCCACTTCCCGGAGGGCTCGTGCCTGGTCAAAGACGTTTCCAAAGCAGGCGTTGAAAAACACGGCGGTGAACAGCCCTTCCTCCTTCCCCCCCTCCCGCTCGTATATCACGGGGAGATCAAGAACGTCCCCCTGCCAAAAGGACGCACGCGGAAAGCTCTCCCTCGCCACCACCAACATGCCCGCGGAGAGATCCATCCCGACAATGCGCTTCTCTCCGGCGTTTTCGTCCAGGTAGGGAAGGAGGAAGGGGAGGAGGGCCCCGGTCCCTGTGCCCACGTCGAGGACACGATCGGTGGGACGGAGGGCAGCAGCCTCGGCGATGCGTCGGAGACGAGGGATAACGTCCTCAGGGGTCGCTTCCTCGCTGGAAAAAAATCTGCGAGGAGGGAAATAAGCCGGTCAAAGTACCAGGATAGGCGCACTTGTCAGTTTCTTACACTACAGTGCAGTCCTATTCATAGATGCTTCGTACTTCTTCCTTCCCACATGGCTGCTCCACTTTCCTCTCCTTTCCTCTCCTTTCTGTCCCTTACGCACTTTTTTCAACACGTCTTCCGCAAGTTTACCCAAGCATTTTCAAATCATTCTTCTCTCCGATCACTTACTGCGCTGCTTCGTCAAATACACTTGCTTGCTTCTCATTGTGGGATGCCCGTCGCTTTTCCTCCTCCGCCGAGTCCTTTTCCCATACCGTCGACGAAGCAGCACGCCCTTCAAATGAGTCATGCATGCCGTACACTTTCTCCTTGTGGAAATCCAAAGATTCCGACGATTGCCACACCAGCATCCTCCGCGAATGGTAGTCATGTACGAGGCTTCTAGTGGTATGAAACGGTGGTCTTGTGCAATGTAATTTTTGACAATAAAGTCAGCTGCTTTTTTATGGTCAGCATGCATCGTTTGAATATATGGTCAAGATGACCTAAAGTGTTATACCCTGACTTTGCACCGATTTATGTGAGGCAAGCGCTGAAAGCTGAGCTAGGAGGTTAGGAGTCTCACCTGCTAATTTGACTTCCCAAAAGAGAGTGCGACGACGACATTGGGGGGCCCCATGCAAATGCAAGAGCTGATTGGCAGGTAAATGAGGCCAGAAGGACAGCACATACAGCCGCATAGGTCCTGAAGCAGCAAGAGGCAGATCGTGACGCGAAACTTGATGCACTAGACAGAAACAGAAGGGGAATGACGGTCTTCAAGGAGCCCTGTTTGTCTGCACAGAGACGCGGTAGACGACGCATATCCCTAAAATGTGACATAGTCTCCTCGTTATCAGTACATTTATCTCTATTCTGCGTGTTTGACGTACGTATTGAAACAAATCAGGTCAACGTGAGTTTGTTCGGTGGCAACAGCAACCAAAGAAAGGAGACGCCGACTTCAATTTGAAATCGCACAAAAAACCTCCTCTATGTTTTTTGGGGGGCATATTTCGCATGTTTAAAGCATTCTGATAAACATTCATTGCCCCATTTTGGTAGGGGAAAAAAGAATCATTCGGATCGCTAATGAGCTTTTCGCATGGAGACTGGGCTCGGAGACGTTTATTGACATTCGAGGGTATGGGGATGATACTCCGACACTCGTCTCCTTCTAAGGTTCCACCATTGCCTTCCCTTGATCTATGAGCCTTCAACCCCGCAAGAAATTCTACAGAAAAAGACACGTCCGTGTGGGTGCCGGTATGTTTATTTTCCAATTTTTCTCCCTCCCGATCAACTTACAAGTCTTTGTCACAATTTGATACATACTTCATAACTCGCGATGGACTGGCTGAAGACATGTCCGAATTCGGGTTACACATGATCTAAAGTGCGACCAAATATCACTCCCTGATATATACTATTCCTCTTCATTCCGCATCTCAAGCCTGGAGGGCTGCCCGCAAATTGGCCTTATCTGATTTTGGCATCATGTATTATACGTGTCCAGAGACTTTAATGATTTGCCCTTATTGACGACAGTAATTTGGCGCCATCCTATTTGTCCTCAACGAATGTGAAAATCCAAGCAGATGCTACAGAATGTAAACCTTGAGCAATAAAAAAGTCCTGGGCCTAAGTTGCCACGTCGCTCTAAGTGCGTAGATCACTGAGAAATATCGGTTGCTTTTCCCCAAGCGGGCACAGAACGACTACAGAGAATCCTCAGATATTGGATGTCTGCATTTACTGGCCACTTTTATTTAGACGTTGACGATTGACAGCATCACGAGTGAGATTATTCGTGCGAAAATTCAAGCCCTCTACAACCGAACTCTCGGTGTAAAAATTCATAATTGAGGCTAATTTTGTCGTAAGCAGATTATGAGTGCCGTCTTCTGGAATTTAAGAGGAGCGTTCATTGATGAGAACCATCAGTAATCTGTTTCGTTCGCAAAATACCCCAAATTCTGAAACTTAAGCGCCTCCCAGGAATAACGAATAGAAGTTGTGATGTTCATTATTTTTCCATGTAACTTCTACATTGGCAAAAATAGGGGAGACAATATCAATGGTTTCCTACCACGTCTTTGTTTGTACGGAAATATGCAATGGACGACTGAAGCATCGCGCGCATGTTGAAGGTTGAATATGAAGGCTTCGTGTCGAGGCACATTGTATGAAAAAAGGGCATCGTATGTACAATATGGTGGCATTCGACATCAAAATGTCTTATTTGGTAAAAAAAATATACGGAAACAAAAAATTGTGATTGTTCACTTATCTTGTCGAGAGACGCTGTTGAGTAGCTTGCGATGTCGGGTATGTCTTGAGTTTAAGGAAAGATATATCCATGAAGGGAGGGAGGTTTGACTTTTCATTCAAAAAGTCTACCCTCCTCAAAAATTCTACTTCTCATCAAAACGCAATATCCTTGCACACCTTAATCTTTTCAAAATATAGGGAAAGCGTGCATTTTGTTAACCGTTGAGGGGGAAACCTTAAAGTTTCTTTTTTTTTTTTTAACGGCCGGCCGTTGGGGGCCCATATGACGATGAGTACAGGAGCCTCAGTACCTCGAGAAGATAACTGATCCGAGTAGAAGGAAGCATTTTAATGACCAGACTTCCATCACGTCCTCATCTTTACCAAAATACATTCTTGCAAGCATTGCGCCTTCTACAGGTTCCTCATAAGAAGCCTACGAGGTTGATCTTAGCCTGCGAATCGCAAAACTAAGCGCGAACGTCTCGTGATCGAGCATCTCGATGAAAGCCCCTGGAAAGCCTTTCCATGCCCGATTTGCAAACGTGCCACCGTCGGTCAATACTCCAAATTCTACAACAACAAGCACGACTAGCATCAATTATGACGTAGCGTCCTCGCCCGTGCGTCTGAATGCATTCGCTTCCCGACTTGCCACGTCGTCCACCGTGGCATCTTCTTCCAAACGCATCGCTTTTTTACCCTTTGTACAACGCTTGGAGCGCGTTATCTTCCAAGGGATTCCACCAACCTACCCTTTACGTGCCAAGATGAAGATCACCCTGGACACCACCTCCTTTGGTATGGCTTGGGATATTTTCCAGTCTCTGGCCAGCCTACTTTCATGCATCACTTATGTGGCCTCCACGTACCATTACATCTTTCCTCTTTTTCTGCAATGGACGCTTACGATTATATTCTCCTGCGAGCTTCTACTGCGCTACTACGTCTCGGAGAATCGATGGGCCCACACCTTTGAATTCTTCACCCTGATAGACTTGTTGACCGTCCTTCCCATGTATATTCAATTTATCGTCGCACACACGGGAACGCCCATGGCGGGCCACAGATCCCTCTTCTTTCTCCGCTTTGCCCGCACCATGAACATCATGCGGATCGTCCGTACCTTCCGTTTCGGTGGGGTCCGGCGGATGCCGAAATCCACCCGACAGTGCTCCATCTTGGGCCTCACGGTCGTCTCCCTGGTTTTCCTCTCTGCGGGCTTGGTGCAGTTGGTCGAGCGGGATCTGACGTTTGGGAGGGCAGTGTACT